AAAAAAAAAAAAAAGACCCAGCCTACCATTTAGCCCAGACTTAGACAAACTCTGATGTCATTTCAGCTCCTCAGCACTCCCTGGAGTCGGCTAATGCCTTTGTTAGGACTGTATCACCATTTAATTTTGCCCTCTGTTTAATCCTACTTCTTTCTCCTCTCTTCCATCAGTATTGCTCCCAATATGACTCAATAACAAATGCCCTGAATGGTATTTCCATCCAATGAGTTTGCTTCCCAAGGAACCCAAACTAACCTATAGGAAGATCACATGGAAAAACCTGAAACCGGCTTGGTGCCTGTGGCTCAAGTGGCTAAGGCACCAGCCACATAAACCTAAGGCAGCGGGTTCAAATCCAGCCTGGGCCCGCCAAACAACAATGATGGCTGCAACCAAAAAATGGCCGGGCGTTGTGGCAGGGGCCTGTGGTCCCAGCTACTTGGGAGGCGGAGGCAGGAGATTCGCTTGAGCCCAGGAGTTGGAGGTTGCTGTGAGCTGTGATGCCAGAGCACTCAACCCAGGGGGACAGCTTGAGGCTCTGTCTCAAAAAAGAAAAAAAGAAAAAAGAAAAGCCTGAAACCACAAGAAAAGAGTAGGAGGTGCCCAGCCAGCCCCCAGCTTATCCAACTCCAAACTTTTCCACTTCTAGCCACTGTCTGTCTCTCTGTAAGAGCCAGAGCCACCCAGCTGAGCCCTTCCCAAATTCCTGTGCCACCAAGACCATAAGAGATAATAAAATGATCGTTATTATAAGTGTCTAAATTTGATATCATTATGCAGCAATAGTAATTGGAATAACTCCTTATCACACATTTTTCTGATTAAAAAAGTGTCTATTGGCTCAGCGCCTGTGGCGCAAGTGGCTAAGGCTCCAGCCATATACACCTAAGGTGGCGGGTTCAAATCCAGCCTGGGCCTGCCAAACAACGACAGCTGCAACCAAAAAATAGCTGGGCGTTTCTGCGGGCACCTGTGGTCCCAGCTACTTGGGAGGCAGAGGCAGGAGACTCACCTGAGCCCAAGAGTTGGAGGTTGCTGTGAGCTGT